GGCCTGAACTCTGGGCCTGGGCGCTGTTCCTCAGCTCTTCAGCTCAAGGCTAGCACTCTACCACTTGAGCCACAGCGCCACTTCCGGCTTTTTTTTTCTTTGTGCTTATGTGGTGCTGAAGAATCGAACCCAGGGCCTCAGGCATGCAAGGCAAACGCTCTACCACTGAGCCACCTTCCCAGCCCACAGAGATTCTTATCTCCAATTGATCTACAAAAAGCTAGAAGTGGAGGTGTGTTTCAAGTGATAAAGACCTAGCCATGAAGGAGCAAGAACTGAACAAGATCGAGAAACCATGGGTTGGGTGCTGGTGGCTCACTCCTGTAATCCTAGCTAATCAGGAGGATGAGATCTGAGGATCACAGTTCAAAGCCAGTCCAGGCAGGGAAAGTCTGTGAGACTCTTATCTTCAATTAACTGCCAGAAAACCGGAAGTGGTTCTGTGGCTCAAGTGGTAGAGCACACACCTTGAGCTGAAGAGCTGAGGGACAGCACCCAGGCCCAGAGTTCAAGCCCCATATCCTATGGAAAAAAAAAATAAACCTTGAGTTCAAGCCCCAGTACTGGTGCACACAAAAAATAAAGATGACTGTGTTGAGACTGGGATTGTAGCTTATTGGTAGACTATATGCTCAGTATACACCAGGCCCTTGGTTCAATCCCCATCATTGGGGATGTGTTTGTTCTGTGCTCAGCACCTCCCCCTTGGTTTTTAGTATTATTTATTACCCACAAATACGTAACCAATGGTGATTGAGTTTAGGTTCTCACTGAGTGTGATTAGTGTGAATTGTAAACCATAATTTTCTATTATTGGATACTCTATATATTTCTTAAACTACTCCCAATTTTAAGGTTGCTTAGTTCATTTTCTAGTTCTGTTACAAATTATATCCTTGGAGGCCTTCCTGTTCATTTGTTTGTATTATAAAAACAATTCAAATTTTAGACTTTTTTGGCCGGGCGCTGGTGGCTCACGCCTGTAATCCTAGCTACTCAGGAGGCTGAGATCTGTGGATCGCGGTTCAAAGCCAGCTCGGGCAGGAGAGACTATGAGACTCCTATCTCCAATAAACCACCAGAAAACCGGAAGTGGCGCTGTAGCTCAAGTGGTAGAGCGCTCGCCTTGAGCTGAAGAGCTGAGAGACAGTGCCCAGGCCCAGAGTTCAAGCCCCAAGGCTGACCAAAAATAAATAAATAAATATCAAAAAGTACTGTGAAAAATAAATGCATTCTCAAATTCTAGGTGTTGATGGAAATGTTAGTATCAAGCTAAATATTTTACACTAATATCAATAAAACTGACTTTACCCTGCTAAGGATAACATTTATTGGCTAAACAAAATGGCCAGTGTAAAATATTAGAAACTCGCTGACCCAAAGAGGTTTCAGGAGACTCAGAAGCAAAGAAAACAAACAAGATTTCATTACAGATTCTAGAAAGATTCCACTAAATAAGGAAAAGGAAATGCACAGTGGCTCATGGAATGAATCACATCTGGTTTAATTGTAGGTAGAAGATGAGACTGTTTTATGCAATATTCCTTACATGGGAGATGAGGTGAAAGAAGAAGATGAAACTTTCATTGAAGAGCTGATCAATAACTATGATGGGAAAGTCCATGGTGAAGAAGGTAGTAGTGTTTGGTTCATTGGGAGAAAACTTTTTTAGAAAAATGCCTTACCTTGGGTACATCATTAATCATCATTCCCATGAGGATACATATTGAAGAATAATTCAATGTCATTGCATGATTGGCAGTTAAAATTTTGTATTAAAAATACCTGGTTAGGGCTGGAAATGTGGTTTAGTGGTAGAGTGCTTGCTTAGCATGCATGAAGCCCTGGGTTCAATTCATCAGTACCACATAAACAGAAAAAGCTGGAAGTGGCACTGGCTCAAGCAGTAGAAAACTGGCCTTGAGAAGAAAAAAGCTAAGGGACAGTGACTAGGCCCTGAGTTCAAGCCCAAGTGCTAGCAAAAAAAAAACAAAAACAAAACAAAAAACCCTGATTAAGCCAGGGCACTGGTGGCTTACACCTAGCTACTCAGGGAACGTAAGATCTAAGGATTGCAGTTCAAACCCAACTTGTGCAGAAAAATCCGTGAGACTCTCATCTCCAATTAACCATCATAAAACTGGCAGTGGCACTATAGATCAAAGTGATAGAGTGCTAGCCTTGAGTGAAAAAGCTCAGGGACAGCACCCAGGCCCTGAATTCAAGCCCCACAAACCAACTTCGCCCCCCGCCACACACAAAAAAAAACCTGGTTAAATTGTAAAATTATACAAAGAGATGATTAGTAATCAACTAGTTTAATCTTAGAAACTTTACAAGCCAGGCCTCAGTAGCTCACACCTGTAATCCTAACTGAGTTCTAAGAATCACAACTCGAAGCAAGCCAGTGTAGACAAATCTAAGAGACTCATCTCCAATTAACCAGCAAAAAGCTTGAGGTGAACCTGTGGCTCAAGTGGTAGATTCCATAACTATGATTGGTGCCAGTGGCTCACACTTGTAATCCTAGCTACTCAGGAGCCTGAGTTCTGAAGGTTGTGCTTTGAAACCAATCTGGGCAGGAAAGTCCATGAGATGAGGCTCTTGCCTCCAATTAGCCCCCAAAAAATCCAAAATGGAGCTGTGCCTCAAGTGCTAAATAGTGCCATTCTGGAGCAAAAAACTAGACATTACCCAGGCCTTGACTTCAAACCCAAGTATCAGTACAGGAGGGGGAAGAGGGGAAGAGAGAAATTTTTCCTAAGTTCATCTAAGGCCATTTTATTCTTTGTTTCTCTTTGAGAATATAGGTCAGCTTCACCTCTCTGTTATATTCCTTTGATCCAAGTATCTTGTGGGTCTTTCAGAAGTTGGCTTAAAATAGCTGTATTTCCTAAAAGCCTATCATTTAGACTTTGCTGTAATTCTAGAAAAGGTCAGGAAATAAGAAGTAGATAGAGATTCTTCATGGATTTGCAAGCTGATAGCCTTGCCTACTCTTGACAATTGTGGGTGCTTTTGTGACAGTACTCGAATTCACTGTTTGTCTATACCACCCCCTAGTGTTCATTCAGAGACATTCTCCCAAGTTATATAACCACAATAAGGTAGGATTTCAGGAAAAAGTGGTTTTCAATTTAGAGAAGTCACTATCAGAAGCAAAACAAATATATTTTCATTCTTCTTTCTCTTCCCAATTTGTGATTATTGGTACACTTCTTTGAGATTTGAACTGTAAATACAAAGTTGACATGACTACGGAAATGAAGTTTCCCAATAAGAATAAAGTCTATAAATGGGTTTTTCTACTCAACCACCTGAACTATGCATTGTAAAAGCCAATAAAATTATCATTATTCTCTTATTTTACATATGAAAACACACACATTCCTTATTAGGGCCTCAGAACTGAGTACAAGAAAGCCTGTTTGGTAGGACTAATGGAGTGTGAAGTGGCCACTGCTTACCTTCCTAATCCTCATGTTTCAGAGATGATTCCTGGATCTGTCCTGATAAGTGATGCTGTTTTCCTGGAATTGGTAGATGCTCTGAATCAACACTCAGATGAAGAGGAGGAAGGGCACAATGACACCACTGATGGAAAACAGGATGATAGCAAAGAAGATCTTCCATTAACAAGAAAGAGAAAACGACATTCTATTGAAGGTATATAGCTATTTTGAAACTGACAGGGCTAGAGAAGAAGGAAAAATTAGAAATGTGTATTGTTGATCTACTTAAAATGAAAATATGATCATTAACTGGTAGTTTATATTGCCTGTGATCTAAGTGGAAAATACAGTAGAACTTAAAGAATAATCAGTTGTGAGTAATGTTAAAAAAAAAACAACAACCTAACAACCTGGAAAGTTGTCAAAAGACAATAAAATTACTCTAAAATCCTGATACAGGGGCTGGGAAGTTGGCTCAGTGGTAGAGCGCTTGCCTTGCATGCCTGAGGCCCTAGGTTCGATTCCTCAGCACCACATAAGCAAAAAGAAAAAAGCTGAAAGTGGCGCTGTGGCTCAAGTAGTAGGGCACTAGCCTTGAGCTGAAGAGCTGAGGGACAGTGCTCAGGCCCAGAGTTCAGGCCTCAGAACCGGACCAGAAAAATAAATAAATAAAATCCTGATACATAGAGCAGCCAGATTAATATTTCTAGACTTTTAAAATATAGATATGTATATCAATGTGTTTATATGTTCTGTGTAATTGAATTTGTGTTATATGTGCATAAAATTTTATCTCAAATCTTACGAACATTTTTCCTTGCCACTAATATTTAGTGAATTTAATATTTATTTTCTTAGTTATAATATATATTATTTAATTATATGTCCAGAGGCATATAAAATAGTTGCAGTATCAGTCTTGTTCTTCAGCATAGCATTATGATAGAATTTTTCTATATGTAGATCTCGGTGAAAACACTTCCTCATACCCAGTGTCTATCAGGGATTGTGAATTTTGTTATCAACATGTAGTCAGTGTTTAACAAAGCAGTTCTAATCAAAATGCTGTGACAAAGGGAAAAGAGATCAATTAATTTACTCAGGAGTTTATTGTCATTTTCAATATAGGCAACAAAAAAAGTTCCAAGAAACAGTTCCCAAATGACATGATCTTCAGTGCCATTGCCTCCATGTTCCCTGAAAATGGTGTCCCAGATGACATGAAGGAGAGGTAGGGACCACTCAGGCCTTACTTACACAGAGTATTTGGACAAAACTTTTATTCAAGCTGTTCTTTGTTGTTAATAACAATCCCTGTTAATGGTAAGTTTATTATGATTTTGCTTGTACTTCTGGTCATTTGTTGCTTACATACCTCTAAATGCCCCTTGACATGTTAAGGGCCATTCATAATGTGCTGGTTTTTGAGTAAATCTGTACAGAAAACTTTTACTCTGCCATTCTTTGGGGAACTTATTACAGCATGAGTAATCTTTTCCTCCCTTTACTTTCAGACATATACTCACCCCGCATAATTAATTACAAGGGTGTAGCTATTTAGTTATATACATTCCCTCATCCATCAAGCACATGAAAAATACTCATAATCCCTTGGCAGGATGTGCTTGGATGACTCTCAATACCCAATCTTCATTTTCACAGTGGAGACGTTCCCTTGAAGAAACTCTTCTCTTTCTTTTCTTAAATAGGTATCGAGAACTAACAGAAATGTCAGATCCCAATGCACTTCCCCCTCAGTGCACACCCAACATCGATGGGCCCAATGCCAAGTCTGTGCAACGGGAGCAATCTCTGCACTCCTTCCACACACTCTTTTGCCGACGCTGCTTTAAATACGACTGTTTCCTTCACCGTGAGTGGGGCTACATTTGACATTTTCTCCTCTTTTTCAACCACAAGCACTATTCCCTTATTCTGATTTGTCCTATGGAGTTCCCAGCCTCTGCTCTCATGGGGATTTTACAAAGGGCCACCAGTTCTAGGGCTGGAGGTGTGGCGTTAATGATAGAGTACCTGCCCAGCAAGCATGAAGCCCTGAGTTTAAACCCCAAAAGAAAGAAAAGTCCAGGCACTGGTGACTCATGTCTATAATCCTATAATCCTACTCAGGAGGCTGAGATCTTAGGGTCACAGTCCGAAGCCATCCAGAGCAGAAAATTCCATGAGACTCTTATCTCCATTATAGTACTCAGAAAAAGCTGGAAGTGGTTCTGTGGTTCAAGTGGTAGAATGCTAGCCTTGAATACAAAGAGGCTAAGGTAATAGTGTCCAGGCCCTGAGTTCAAGCCCCAGTGGTGGCAAAAAAAAAGGAAAGAAAAGATTGTCTTGATATCAGTTATGTACTGTGATGGTACACAGTTGTTTATATCAAGTCCTATCCTAATTCATACAATAGCTTGCTAACTCAGTTTTATTCTTCCCTACTTTTTCAAGTAGATAGACCATTGGAAATACCACAATTTTTGTTTTGCAGCCTTTCATGCCACCCCTAATGTGTATAAACGCAAGAACAAAGAAATCAAGATTGAACCAGAACCCTGTGGCACAGACTGCTTCCTTTTGCTGGTAGGTTCTTAAGCTATTCTAGCATTATTAACTGTTTACAATTGATCAAGAACTATTCCTTGGACTTTCTGGTTCTGGAAGCACAAGCTAAGTGAGCCATACACAGCACTCCAGGGGTCAAATAGCCCAAATGAAACATGCCTTCTGCTCCCTAGACACAGTAATACTGAGAAGATAGTCTAATGGAGTGATGTTTGAAGAACAGTAAAAGATTTTCTGCTTTAAATATTACCTACTTAGATTTTAAAGTCTGAGATTGTATTGTTAGATTTGAAACAAAGATGGCTGAGGGCACAGGTCAATGGTAGAACCCTTGTCTAACATATTTAAAGCCATAGGTTTGATCATAATATCACCAAAAAGAGGTGAGGGAGATGTTTCCCAGAGTATGTTCCATCTCCTTTGCTGTCTTCCTTTAAATACATATAATGAACACAATCATAGGAAGAGTCAGTGATATCTTATTGCAACCAACCTGATGGCCCCTCCCTGATGGACAGATCTTATGTGCCTGAATAAACTGCCCTGCATATATGGAGGAGGCAGTACATTGAGAGCTGTGGAATAAGTCCTTTGTGTTAACTGAATTCAGGTCTGGCTGTTTAACCAAAAAGCAATATGGTAGCCTTTTATCAGTGGCTCACACCTGTAATCCCTAGCTACTCAGGAGGCTGAAATCTGAGAACCATAGTTCAAAGCCAGCCTGAGGAGAAAGGTCTGTGAGACTCTTATCTCTGATTACCACCAAAAAGCTAGAAGTGAAGCTGTGGCTAAAGTAGTAGAGGGCTAGCTTTGAGCAAAAAGCTCAGGGATAGCACCCAGACCCTGAGTTCAAGTCCCAGGACTAAAAAAAAATGCTTAAGAGGTAATCATTTGTGGGAAGGATAGCAGTTTTATTCAACAGCCAGTATCTTTAAAAGATGAATAATGGGGAATACTTCTTCAGAGCCCCATCTCAGGGAACTCAGGAATACAAGAGGCCTTTCTAAGAAGGGAAAGAAGGAACAGGAGACAGTGAACAGGAAAGCTACATGATGAGTAGGGTCTTCATCATCCAGGGCATGGTATCTTTTTGTTTGTTCTTCTGGCTGGCCCAGCTCAATGATCTTCAATCTCATGGGGCTAGTTCCTGTAGTTCTATGACTTATTATTCTTGTGTAGGTTAAACCTCACAGCAATTTCCATGCTTTGTGTCAGGTGTTGGCAGAACTAAAAAATAAGCAGGAGTGTCACACATCCTGATGTTATTATCATCTAGAGGTCACCAGATGTTCTGGGTTCTGAAAATCTAAAGGAAAATTATTTAAAAGTTAGCATCTTAATCATTTAGTTGCAAGTTCTCTTTATAATTTAGAATACTGAGCCAAGGTATAGAAACTAAAAGTAGGGAGGGAGAGGGATCAGCAGAGGAAAAATTGGGAGAAAATTAGAGAGGGGGTAACTGTTCAAAAAGAAATGTATTCATTACCAAACTAATATAATTGTAACCCCTTTGTACATCACCTTTACAAATAAAATTTAAAAAAGAAAGAGAGAGGGGCTGGGAAGGTGGCTCAGTGGTAGAGTGCTTGCCTCACATGCATGAGGCCCTGGGTTCAATTCCTCAGCACCACATAAGCAGAAGGAGCTGGAAGGGGTGCTGTGGCTCAAGTGGTAGAGCGCTAGCCTTGAGCTGAAGAGCTGAAGGACAGTGCCCAGGCCCTGAGTTCAGGCCCCACGACCGACCAAAAAAAAAAGAAAGAAACTAAAGATAACTGCTAGGGACATCTTCCAGAGGAGAAATTGAGTTACAGTTGGACTTGCCAACGATACTGTTTGGCTTTTTTTGGGGGGGTCCAGTCGTGGGGCCTGAACTCAGGGCCTGGGCACTGTCCTTCAGCTCTGGTAAAAATATGGTGGAAAAGGTTACGGGTTATAGAATTTATATATTTTTCCCAGAGTTTATTAGAAAGTTAGTGATGTGGCAATGATGAGATTCAAGCCCCAGTCTAACTCTATGCTTTTTAAATTATCCCATCCTTTTTATTACTCTGTCACACCAATGTTCTAGCAGTTATGTCACTCAAAGGAGCATTATCCTTCTCACAGGCCTTACCCTGGAGCTCTGTACATGTATTACAAAGCTCCTGGCAGTGCCCAGAGTGTGTTAACTTACAGAGATTAATGTGCACAGCTTTTTAAAAATTGTTTTTTGGGTTATGAATACATATCAAATATAATGCAGGACTATTTTCCTCCAACTTTAGTTTTTTTCTAAAGGAAAATATCTTTAATTACAACAAGATGTCTAGCCATGCCAAAACAAGGCCTCAAGAAAATAGCTGAACTCAGTTGTTATTTCTCCAGAAATCTTTAGCAAAATCCTTTAGCAAACAATTTACATAATCTGACAAGAAACCATAGTACTCACCAACTTTTTATTAAGAACATTTTCAGTCATGCAAAGTTGAAAGATTTAAAGTATTTACTCTATCCATGTATATGGCAAGGGATGCTGAGAATGGAACCCAAGACTTTACACATGCTAAGAATATGTTCAGCCACTGAGCCACATCTTCAGCCTGTTTGGTTTTTGTTTTCAAACTAATAACAACTAGTCAGGCATAATATCCGGTTATTATATGTTTTGCTTTCTTTTAATCTCAAATAATTCTTTTTTTTTTTTTTTTGGATCCGGTTGTGGGGCCTGACCTCTGGGCCTGGGCGCTGTCCCTCAGCTCTTCAGCTCAAGGCTAGCTCTCTACCACTTGAGCCACAGCGCCACTTCCGGCTTTTTTCCTTTTTGCTTATGTGGTGCTGAGGAATCAAACCGAGGGCCTCAGGCATGCAAGGCAAGCGCTCTACCACTGAGCCACCTTCCCAGCCCCAATCTCAAATAATTCTATCACTTGTTTCGTCTCATTGAAATTCTAAACTGGCTACTTTGTAGGATCATCCACATTTTGAATATGTTCTTTTCTCAAAGTATCATTTAAGTTGTTCTTTTATCCCCTATTTCCCATAAACTAGCAGTTAGCTCTGGAGGCTATGGTTAAACTGAGTTGTACATATTTTTTGAAAATATAGCTATTAAAATAGAATTTTAAAAATAAAAATAAAGAGAGGGAGGGAGGGAAGAAAGAAGGAAGGAAAGAAGGAAGGAAGGAAACTGAAGCCAAAGGTCAGGTGCCAGTGGCTCATGCCTGTAATCCTAGCTACTCAGGAGGGCTGAGATCTGAGGATTGGGGTTCAAAGCCAGCCAGGGAAGAAAACTCCTTGAGGCTCTTGTCGTGCGGTGTGTCCAAGTGGTGAATGCTAGCCTTGAGGGAAAAGCCCAGGCCTTGAGTTCAAGCCCCTCAGCCAACAAAAGCAAAAAAGAAACCAGGTGCTGGTGACTCATGCAAATAATCTGAGATATTCAGGAGGCTGAGATCTGAGAATTGCAGTTCAAGCCAGCCAAGGCAGGAAAGTTTGTAAGTGGAGCTTTGGCTCAAGCATTAGCCTTGAACAAAAAAAGCTCAGGAACAATGACCAGACCCTGAGGTCAAGTCCCTGGATTAGCACCAAAAAAAGGGAAAAAGAAATGCAATAGAATTCTTCTGAAGCTCATCTGCAGATAACAGAGGAAGTTTCAAAATTAACTAACAGTAACATACCAATTCAAGGATTATACATTTACTATTGAAACAGGCAGTGTGGTGCATGTGAAGTAGCACCTTCAGGTGAAGAGCCCTGATTCTTGCTTACTGTCTGGAACATTCAGCCATATTCTCTCAAGCAGGTCTCTTTCCTCTCTACCTCATTTCTTCATCTTCAGGAGAACGTGTTCTCAAATTCTAATCGTGAATGAATTTCAGATACAACTCACTGATTAAAGAGTAGATGATACTTCTTTTAAAATAAGATATTCGACAACCCCTTGTGTGAAAAGTTTGTAAATTTTAGAGTGTTTGTCAAGTAGCTGTCATTATATGGTCTCACATGGTATAGATAATTTTTAAAAGAATCATTGCATTTAAGCATGGTTGTTGTCAAGGATGAATATGATGAGTCTGTGCCTTTTCCTATTTGTAATATGCCTACTACAGGAAGGAGCAAAGGAGTACGCCATGCTCCATAATCCCCGCTCCAAGTGCTCTGGGCGCCGCAGGCGAAGGCATCATGTGGTCAGTGCTTCTTGCTCCAATACTTCAGCCTCTGCTGTGGCTGAGACTAAAGAAGGGGACAGTGACAGGGACACAGGCAATGACTGGGCCTCCAGTTCTTCAGGTACAATAAACAGAAAATAGAGAAGATAGTGAGCCTGTTAAACCCAGGCTCACTATCTGGCTTAACACTTAATTCTTTCCATTGGCTTATCTATAAAGAATATTTTCATTCTTAACTATTCTGTATTTTAAATTAGAACAATGGGCTGAAGTTTTGGCTCAAGTGGTATAGAGCTTGCCTAGCAAGTACAAGGTCCAGAGTTCAAACCCCCCAGTATTGGAGAGGGGGGAGCCTAAAAAGTACTATGATATAGTTCTGAGTTTGTGACAAACTACTAATGACTACTGCATTTCACTCTCTTCTGTTTTTTGCTTGCTTAGAGGCTAACTCTCGTTGTCAGACCCCCACAAAACAGAAGGCCAGTCCAGCCCCACCTCAACTTTGTGTTGTGGAAGCCCCTTCAGAGTCTGTGGAGTGGACCGGGGCTGAAGAATCTCTTTTTAGAGTCTTCCATGGCACCTACTTTAACAACTTCTGTTCCATTGCCAGGCTTCTGGGGACGAAGACATGTAAGCAGGTAACTACTTTTTCTGTTGTTGTTGGTCATGGGGCTTGAACTCTGGGCTTGGGCACTGTCCCTGTGCTCTTCAGCTCAAGGTGAGCACTCTACCGCTTGAGCCACAGCACCACTTCCAGTCTTCTGGTGGTTAAATGGAGATAAGAGTCTCACAAACTTTCCTGCCTGGGCTGGCTTTGAACTGCAATCCTCAGATCTCAGCCTCCTGAGTAGCTAGGATTACAGACATGAGCCACAGGCGCCCAGCTAAGCAGGTAACATCTTCAGAGTAGTATCTGTTCACCCATTGTACTGTTCCTTCACTATCTTTTCATATTGTGTTTCTGGAGAGAAATTGTCTTAGATTCAGGTAGGCCTAAGTCTTTGCTTCTGGGTCATAAAGTAGATTCCTAGTCATGGACAAATTCCAGGCCTCTGCTCTACTCCTTGCCAAATGTTTCTCATTGCTATTTAACTTTTCTGGATGGTCCTGAACTCCTTTACCTACTTCATGGTTCCTTCCTTTCTGAATGTATACCTGAATTCTAGATGACCTCAATCTATCTGTGGGTCTTCTTACTGTCACACACTTGACAGTATAGCAGCTATTCCCTTCATCCTTGTGTGCTTTATTCTCCATATTTCATATCACGAAATTTTATAATTTCCACCCTCAATAGATGGTCCCAGACCTCAATCTTTCTTATCAGCAGAGAGTGAAACAGAAAAAGACTTAAATGAGAAGACAGAGTATAGAACCAGTGATTAGTCATGGGTTGAAGCCAATATGCCCATCAAAGAAGGGAGCAGACCAACCTGCTCATGTAACTTCCCAACTTCTGGAGACATCTCTAGAACCTGTTCTTGGGAGCAGATCCCCAAGTATTGCTAGGTCTGACATTTGCAGAAAGACCTTCATTAGGCCTTCATGTTCCTTTATAAAACCATTAAAAGACTCATAAGTTGAAGTGCCCTATGCCTAGTGTTTTACCTGTTTCCTTGCAACACAGCCTTTTTATATCTTTTTATTTTATTTTTTGCATCAGCCAACCTGGACGACAATTATATTTATACTTCCTGTGTAGCTGTATTGGTTGATATGGAGTCTTGATAAATAACTTTTTGCCTCAGATGGCTTTAAACAGCAATCCTTTAGATCTCTACCTTCCAGGTAGCTATGAGTATAGGCCTCAGCCACAATGCTAGGCCTTAACACAGGTGTTTGTTTGTCAGTCCTGGGGCTTGAACTCAAAAGTCCTGGACACTGTTCCTGAGCTGCTGCTGCTGCTTTTTTATTTTTTGTCAGTTGTGGGGCATGAACTCTGGGCCTGGCATGCTGTCCCTGAGCCCTTCAGTTCAAGGCGAATGCTCTACCATTTGAGCCACAACGACACTTCCAGTTTTCTGGTGATTTATTGGAGTTAAGAGTCTCCCAGACTTTCCTGCCCAGGCTGGCTTTGAACCGCAATCTTCAGATCTCAGCCTTCTGAGTAGATAGGTTTATAGACATGAGCCACTGGCACCCTGCCCTGAGCTTCTATTGCTCAAGGCTAGCACTCTACCACTTGAGCCACAGCACCACTTACGGCTTTTTCTGTTTATGTGATATTGAGGAATTGAACCCAGGACTTCAGGCATGCTAGGCAAGCACTCTATCATTAAGTTGCATTCCCAGCCTTAAGACAGGTTCTTAACCTAAAAATCCATACAGTTGAATGCAAAAAATTATCCTGTATATTTTCCTGATAAGATTTATACTTTTTACAGAATCTCAGATGGTACTTAGCCAATGGGAAAAAGAAAAAGCTAAAAATAAGTGCTATAAAAGAAGAAACCTGTTGAAAAGTGTACCAGCCTTCCTGAGCTGACATGCTACCAAACTCTAGTCAAGGCTCTTAGAGCTTTCTACCAACAGAGGGAGCTAGTGCTTAGCACTAGTTCACATTCTACTCAGTTACACTGGTAACACACAGTTGCCCTTTCTAAAAGCAGCACACATTGTGAGCTGAAGCAGCCGCTTTGGGTGTGATGGAAAGGGTGGTAGATGAGAGCTGCTGATAAAGGAAGGTGTTACTCTGTTCAGTATTTCTTCCTTCCTGAATCAGGGCAAATGATTAGGAGTTAACCTTCACAGACATTGGCCCCATGTCCCACTGGTGCTCTGTTTCTTTCTGACTAAAAAGATATTCAATCTACTGTCTATCAGCTCTCCAGAACTCCCCCAAGTCAGCACTTGGCTGGGCCATTTAATGATTGCTTGACTCCCAGATGGTGTGATAGGCCCTGCTGGATTTCTCTTACAGGTCTTTCAGTTTGCAGTGAAAGAATCACTTATCCTGAAGTTGCCAACAGATGAGCTCATGAATCCATCACAGAAGAAGAAACGAAAGCACAGGCAAGGATTGGACAAAGGACTTTTTATGACCAGGATGTGCCCTATGTCCTGATCTCTTGGGCTGATACCTGCCTCCCTCTTGGTCACTGCATAAGACTTAGTGAACCCACCATTCAGCACACACAGCTGAAGGCCAGCATTTTCAGTGCTCCTTAAAGATCCTTGCCTGGGACTGGCCCAGCCCCAACATCTTGTGGACCCTGGGGTAGCTGTCTATTTTCCATTAGAATGTGAGCTGGCTCATGGCTCCACACTGAAAGCATATCTTCTCATTGGGTGATTGCCCACTTTTCAACTCTGACAGTTTATTCCTTTTTAAAAAAATTTTTTGTCGCCGGGCGCTGGTGGCTCACGCCTGTAATCCTAGCTACTCAGGAGGCTGAGATCTGAGGATCTCGGTTCAAAGCCAGCCCGGGCAGGAGAGACCGTGAGACTCCTATCTCCAATAAACCACCAGAAAACCAGAAGTGGCGCTGTAGCTCAAGTAGCTGAAGAGCTAAGGGACATCGCCCAGACCCAGAGTTCAAGCCCCATGAACGACAAAAAAAAAAAAAAAATTTGTCAGTCTTTGGGGCCTGAACTCTGGGCCTGGGCGCTGTCCCTCAGCTCTTCAGCTCAAGGCTAGCGCCCTACCACTTGAGCTACAGTGCCACTTCTGGCTTTTTTCTGCTTATGTGGTGCTGAGGAATAGAACCCAGGGCCTCATGCATATGAGGCAAGCACTCTACCACTGAGCCAACTTTCCAGCCCTGACATTTTATTCCTTTTCTTTGCTTATCCACATGTTATTTTCCTTAATTGTATAACACTGTCTTATAGCCAGTTTTTATTTAGGGTTGGAATTTTCTTTTTAAATTCAACACTCATTGTAACTCAGTTTCCCAGTAAACTGTTAGTTTCCAAAGGAAGGAACTGATACCAGTTCCAGATATAGAAGAAAGGCCTTCTCTATCTCTTGTCAACTCTTCCTTGTCAGTTCCTTCATTCAGAGAAGATCCCTGAAAGGCCTTCCCACCTGCTATCTTAAAACTCTCCCATATCCTGCCTCAGCCAACAGGGAAGACAATATAGCTTTATAGTAGACATATAGGCCTGGGCCTTGTTTGTTTTACTTTTTATTCTATTCCACTTGTTTGGGAGGGGTGGTATTAAGTTTAAATCTTGCAGCCATAGGCCAGCTAGATGGGCTCTCATACAGCAAAAGAAGGCCTTCTATTAAGGGATTTTGGAAGAATATTCTGAAGTTGTCAGAGCAGATCACCCTGTCATTTACCTGCATTATGGAGCTCCTGAGGGCTATGACCCAGACCCATTTCTTTTGTTTTTCAGATTGTGGGCTGCACACTGCAGGAAAATTCAGCTGAAGAAAGGTAAGTTCAATGCTAAGAATGTTGGGCTGGGAAGGTGGCTCAGTGGTAGAGCGCTTGCCTTGCATGCATGAGGCCCTGGGTTCGATTCTTCAGCACCACATAAGCAAAAAGTAAAAAGCCGGAAGTGGCGCTGTGGCTCAAGTGGTAGAGCACTAGCCTTGAGCTGAAGAGCTGAAGGACAGCACCCAGGCCCCACAACCGGACCCCCACCCCCCAAAAAAAGCTAAGAATGTAGCCTGAGCATATGCTTACCATGTGCCCTTGATTCCTTCCTAATAACACACACACACACACACACACACATGCAAGAAAGAAAAAAGAAAAAGGAAATGATGCCAGGGTGTCATTTAGCATTTTAGTTCAAGGCCTTGCCCTGTGGCCTCATCACCCTGCCCCACCTATAGCTGCACTTGTTGACCCTGGCCGCTTCCGCAGAGTGTAGATTTCTGTGCAGCAGCTAAGAAGGGCTGAGCCTCTTATAGCAGTTGAGAAGACCTCTTAGGAGGTAGTTAGGAGCCTTGTGGTCTCTGAGTTTCCTAGTATGTTGTTTGCCAGATTCCAGGCCTCTTTTACTGTTTAGAATAGCTGCTCTGTTATCTCAGACCATCTCTACACCCTGCCCACAAAACAGACCTCCCCATTGTAGCTTGTGCACAACGATCATCCACACTCTTTTCTAACCTCAGATACTGTAGGAGTATCCAAGGCCAGAGCCTGCTTAGACTCAGCCACTGGAACATTTGGAAGGGAGGGCAGTGAGGGAGCTTGGTCTCAGCAGTGTCCTGCATGTTTGTTTCTTCTCTCTTCTAGATAACTCTTCTACACAAGTGTACAACTATCAGCCCTGTGACCACCCAGACCGGCCCTGTGACAGCACCTGCCCCTGCATCATGACTCAGAATTTTTGTGAGAAGTTCTGCCAGTGCAATCCAGATTGTAAGATAATCACACTTTTCCCTATAGTCTTCTAAAGCACTCAGCCTCAGGGAGCCCAGCCTCCCCTTTCTTCCATTCCTTCCTTCTTAGCTTGTCTTATGGGCATCCTATAGGGGAAGCAATATGCTGAAAATCTGGAAAAATCATAGGGTTTGATTTTGTTTAAAGACATGATCCTAGGTCTGGGAATGTGGCTTAGTAGTAGAGTGGTAGAGTGCATGAAGCCCTGGGTCCAATTCCTCAGTACCTCATAAACAGAAAAAGCCAGAAGTGGCTCTGTGACTCAAGTGGTAGAGTGCTAATCTTGAGCAGAAGCTCAGGGACAGTGCCCAGGCCCTGAGTTCAAGCCCCAGGACTAGCCAAAAAGACATGATCTTGTTCTGTTGTCAAAGCTAGCTTGAATTCCTGCGTTCAAGTGATTCTCTTTCTCAGCCTCCTGAGGCACTGGACTACAGGTGTGTACTACCTCATCCAGGTAGGAAAATAATTTTTTAAAAGCCCTTAGGTTCAGACTCTAAAAGCAGCAATTAGACAGAAATGAGATACTTCTTCGTTTTTCCCTTTCAGGGGAAAACTAAAAAACAGGATCCTTTTTCTTTAAAATGTACTGTTGGGCTGGGAAGGTGGCTCAGTGGTAGAGTGCTTGCCTTGCATGCATGAGGCCCTGGGTTCAATTCCTCAGTACCACGTAAACAGAAAAAGCTGAGTGGCACTGTGGCTCAAGTGGTAGAGCACTAACCTTGAGCTAAATAGCTGAGGGACAGTGCCCAGACCCAGAGTTCTGGCCCCATGACTAACCAAAAAAAAACAAAAAAACAGTCTTCCTTTTCAGGGTGTTGCTTTTTGTTGTTATTGTTGTTTTTCACTTTTTTTGGGGGGGAGTGTCGGTCATGAGGCTTTACCTTGGCCTGGGCGCTGTCCCTCGGCTCTTCAGCTCCAGGTTAGTGCTCTACCACTTGAGCTACAGCGCCACTTCCGGTTTTCTGGTGGTTTATTGGAGATAAGAGTCTCACGGCCTTCCTGCCCCAGCTGGCTTTGAACCTCGATCCTCAGATCTCAGCCTCCTGAGTAGCTAGGATTACAGGCGTGAGCCACTGGTGGCCGGCTGTTTTTTCACTTCTTTGAGTTCATTTTTATATTTTTTTTTGGGGGGGGTCCGGTCGTGGGGCCTGAACTCTGGGCCTGGGCGCTGTCCCTCAGCTCTTCAGCTCAAGGCTAGTGCTCTACCACTTG